TTGGTTTTGCGTAAGTTATTTTATTGAAGAATTTGAAATATATTTTTGATAATTTTTAAAATAGAATACATGATCGTGATCCACGTTATTATGCTGATGGCGAAGATGCTTTTTCTATGAGACGTGAACTTACATCACATAGTAAAGTATGTAAAAGAAATAAAATAAAAATACATATGTATTTGACTTTCTTTTTTTCTTTTTCTTCTAGGCATAATGACAATCGATCGATCAGTATTATGTTTAGGATGATTTTCATTTGCTTATATACCGTGTGTTTATTTAACTAACAAATAAAAGATTTTTTTTTCCATTCTCAACAAATCATTATTCGTATATCCTTTTTTCAATCTATATAAACATATGTAAAGATATGCAAATCAAAGCTTTTGACGATATTACCTTTAGTTAGAGATGGAAAATGGTTTCTTTACTTGGTAGTTAATTTTCTATATCATTCATTTGGATATTGGATGACCTTGACAGTAGAAGAAAAAAATATATCAAACGTTTGATTTAACATTTGAAATATGTAAATAGTTATTTATTATTAGATTCTTCTAAATATATGACTTCTAATGAACATATAATTTACTTCTATTGAATATACATATTAGGACCATTTTAAAATGATTTAGTCATTGAAACCATTGTGTTGTTATTTGTTGTTTTTATTTACATTGATGTCATTGAAATCATCGTAAGGAATTCTTTTATTTTTTTGACGTCATTGTGTTGTTGTGCTAGTTTTCCGTTCTGTCTCGAGCATATGATGTACGTCATGTATGTATACGAACCGGAAGAATGCAGATTAGTCTTTCCGCACTATTTTTGTTATTGTGTGTAGAGAAAAAAAAGAAAGTTCTTGCTGTCTCATTTTATTACGCTGTCTCTTGTGTTTTTATTGTCTCTAGAATGATGCATTTATTTATAGTGACACTGATTGATTGATTATAGCTCAACAAAAAAAAAAAAAACCATATTGTCGTCTAAAAACCGTAATCATATAGTCTTGTCATTGTTTAGAAATAATAATTTTTCAATGTTGTGATAAAGAAAAAAAAAAAGCCATAAATTAATACACATACATACTTCACCTTTACACCAGAACAAAAAAACATGTTATGATAATGAAATCATGTGTAAGAAATATTCAATTAATTAATAATCGAAGATTAACATGTTTTGATTAGAAATATGCATGAAACTTTTTGATGCCACTTGTAGAATCGATTATTTCTGGTATTAGTAATTTATGCTAACACTCCAAACATCCAACTTTTCAAGGACAACCAAAGTCAATCTCACTAACATCCATACTTCAATTAATTATGCTCACTAACACCCACTTTGTATGATTAATAGAAAAAAAAAATACACCTTCAACAAAGACGACCATCAAATCGATCCTTGCCACACTAACACGCACAGACACTCATGATCTATCTTTTGACCTGAATATGTGTCACTTCCGAATTACTTTTCATAATAAACTCTCTTCCGGAAATGTGAAAATAACCGAAAAATATCGACAAATATCTCTTAATACCCGATATGATCGTATAACATATTAGCCACATCTAACTTATATTCATTATAATACCCACAAAAACATTCGAGTGTCTGCATACAATTAAAATAATTTTTGTAATGGATTGGTAGTCAACATGCCTTAAAGTACAAACAAAAAGATTTGAAAATAAGAAAAAAACGACTGAAAACAACAAATACAAGATCTTAAACATGTAATAACGTTTGTTTGAATTTTCAAAATATGTTAGTAATACGTACTTTATATTGATTAACATGATGAAGATAGAATTCATTCCATGTCATACAATACGGCACATCCCCTTATGTCTTTTATTTCGAAAATATCGACTAATATATAATAAAATTTTATTTACATCTACTTAAAATCTAATTTACACAGAAATATCCCAAAAAATATAGAGCTTATTTTACAATAGGAAAAGACTTTAGTTTGAAATTATTCTCATATGCTATTTCATTTGAAAATATATCTTCAAATAAGTAATAATACTGAAAATCATTTATCAGAATCAAAATGACACATTGTTAGTGTGCTATTCGTCCCTTCTATTTTAATGATTTACATCGATCAAGAATCATCATTATCGACTAAAACTTGTTCTGAAAAGTTTTTATTTCAAAGGTATGTAATAGCTGGGTTTTTTTTATCATGAATCTTTTTTACATGTGCGGATGTTGGGTTTGAGTGTAGAGGAAGAGAAGACCTTCATCCTCACTCAATTAAAGTTTCTTCTTATTGTGAAATAAGCTCTATATTTTTTGGGATATTTCTATGTAAATTAGATTTTAAGTAGATGTAAATAAAATTTTTATTATATATTAGTCGATATTTTCGAAATAAAAGACATAAGGGGATGTGCTGTATTGTATGACATGGAATGAATTCTATCTTCATGATGTTAATCAATATAAAGTAGGTATTACTAACATATTTTGAAAATTCAAACAAACGTTATTACATGTTTAAGATCTTGTATTTGTTGTTTTTAGTCGTTTTTTCTTATTTTCAAATCTTTTTGTTTGTACTTTAAGGCATGTTGACTACCAATCCATTACAAAAATTATTTTAATTGTATGCAGACAATCGAATGTTTTTGTGGGTATTATAATGAATATAAGTTAGGTGTGGCTAATATGTGATACTATCATATCGGGTATTAGGAGATGTTTGTCGATATTTTTGGGTTATTTTCACATTTCCGGAAGAGAGTTTATTATGAAAAGTGATTCGGAAGTGACACATATTCAGGTCAAAAGACAGATCATGAGTGTCTGTGTATGTTAATGAGGACGGACTGGGTGTTAATGTATGATATAACCGGGATATTGGATGTTGGTGCGACGAGGATCGATTTGATGGTCTTTGTTGAAGGTGTATTTTTTTTCTATTAATCAGCTAGAGTGGGTGTTACTGAGTATAACTAATCGAAGTATGGGTGTTGATGACATTGGTTTTTGTCGTTCCTGAAAACTTGAGTGTTTGAAGTGTTGGCATAAATTAAAAATACCTCCTCGTAATTGATCTTTGACAAAATTAACGAGAAAATGCATTATTACCCAGTGAAAGATATTCAAGAAAAAATCTCGATTATGTTTTGATTATCAACAGGTCAATTCGATTTTTTTTTAAATAGTTTTTTTCAAAAAAATTCGATAATTGCTTAGAAAAATAACCCTTCTTTCAAAATTATAATCGATTATACATTTCAAAATCGGTTGAAATCTTAATCATATCACATCTGATTGAGGATTTCTCAAGTGATTATAATTGACTAAATATGGTTGAACTAGATTGTATGATTGACAGCGAAAGCGAATGTTACCAGTTCATATAAATTTAAAGTATTAGACCAAATAGATAAGCACGATGATGCTTTAGTTTGGATTAACTTATCTAATATTGAAAAATTATCTGTCTACCGATATTCATCCAAACTTTGTGTTCGATTTTTAAAAACTTCTTATGACATTAGACTCAATTCATAATTACCTTACGTTTATTTGCTAATTTTAATAATATTCATCAAGAAGATGATGTACTTATTCTTTTAAATTTAATTGAATGAATTTGTTCAAAACTTGAATATAATTTATTAATATTGATCCGCAAATACAATCATTATAATATGCCTTTTTATTTTTTATTCGATTGTTAATAACAAAAACATACAGAAAAATGAATAAAAAAAAACGTCCTAATTATTTTAGTTAAATCATCATTGATCACATTCTAAAATAAAGAGACAGTATGAGTTCTGTTTCTAATAACCAATTCTTCACCTAAACGTGTCGTCCATTAGCATATAAAAAGAATGTACGAACGACAAATTCTACAAACAACTATCAATTTCAATGCTTTTATACGCCATCTGAAGAAAAAAAATCGAAGAATTCTTCGAAAATCTTTTTCTTTTTAAACTATCAAAACGATTTTTTCAATCCAATGACATATTATTACGATGTTTTTTCAATTCTAATGTGTTAGAACAACTCATACCGAATGACATTAAATGAATTATTTCTTCATCCATGAAATGTAAAACAAATGTAGTCTATCTAACACGCGAGGCAAATTTTCCATTAATTGTTTTGTTTGTATGTTAAGATAGAAATATCTATTTTCTCATTCACATTTCCACTATCTGAAAATTAGTTTCATAGAACTTCAAAAAAAAATGTCTAACTGCTCTTTTATTTCAGTTAAAAATCTACAAATATTGCATCAGTTCAAGAATTGTCGATGAAAATAAAGGATGTGTGCTAGGATGGCTATTTTCTCGCTCATGATTTTTTTGGCTTTTATCTATTTGAATCGTGTCATCGAGTGACTAGAAGTTTTTCCTATGACTTAATTTTGCGCCATTTTAAAGTTTGGTTTTTCACCTCCACTCAGACTTCGAAATTTTTTTCTCAACTATCCTTACAAAAACATATTATTCATATGCAATTTTGCACGCTGATGAAGAATATAATATACATATTTCGATTGGATTGAGTGTTGCATATGAAAACAGTATTTTACAGTTACATGGACTATAAAGTCATTTTCCCATATATTGGCCTATTTATGTATGAAAGCGTTGGTTTTTTTTTTCTGTCTAAAAGATGCCGACATGTGCAAAATGTTCGCTCTATATATTTCAAGTCGATTCAGTCTTGAAAACAATTGATTAGCAATCAAAATATTTTTTATACAATTAGAAATATTTCATAGAAAGCCAAAAGTCATCCTTTTGTACGATCTTTTGGCGCTACAAAATGGTTGAGTGTCAAAAGATCGTACAAAAGGATGAGTTTTGACTTTCTGTGAGATATTTCTAATTGTATAAAATATTTCGATTGCTAATCGACCTTTTCAAAGACTAAATCGCCTTGAAACAAATAGAGCAAACATTTTTCACATGTAGGCATCTTTTAGGTAGAAAAAAAACAAATGTTTTTATACATAAATAGGTCAATAAATGAGGAAACGGCTTTCTAGCCTATTCAGTGATAAAATGCTGTTTTTATATGCAAAACTCAATTTAATCGAAATATATACAAGTGTTTACAAAAAAGCTTACACAACTTCTTCTATCGATATCATCTTCTATATAAATGTTTTCTGAATTGTTTTATACTGTGGCGGATAGCTCACGACGAGTACTATACGACACCATAATT